GAGTATCTGGGATTACAGGCATGCGCCACTATGTCCGGCTAATTTTTATATTTTTAGTAGAGATGGGGTTTTATCATGTTGGCCAGTCTGGTCTCAAATGGCTGGCCTCAAGAAATCCACCCGACTCAGCCTCCCAAAGTGCTGGGATTACAGGCATGCGCAACCGTGAACCCAGCCTCCATGTCTTGACAGTTGTGAATTCATTGGTTGCAGTGAATACAGAAGTGGAATGTGTCTTCCAGATTCTTATTTCAGTTCTTTTGGATAAATAGCCAGGATGATCAAAAGGTAGTTACATTTTAAATTTTTTTGAGGATCCGCCATACTGTTTTCTACAGTGACTGTATCATTTTGCATTCCCACCTACAGTGTAGAAAAAAGGGTTCCAATTTTCCACATGTTGCCTTTTGTTTTTGTTATTTGTTTTTTTTTGATAATAGCTATCCTAACAGGTGTGATGTGAATCTCATTGACAGGTTGATTTGCATTTCTCTGATGATTAGTGACATTGAACTTTGTTGCTCATTTGCACATCTTCTTTAGAGAAATGTCTACTAGCCCTTCTTAAATCAGATTAATAGAGGTTTATTTGTTTGTTTGTTTGTTTTGCTACTGAGTTGTAGCAGTTCCTTCTGTATTTTGGAAATTAACTCCTTAACAGGTATATGGTTTGCAAATACTTTCTCCCATTCTATAGGCTGCCTTTTCACTCGATTGTTTACTTTGCTGTGTGGAGGCTCCTTCATTTGGAATAGTCCAATTTTTCTATTTTTGCCTGTGTTTTTGGTGTCTTACCCATGAAGTAATTGCCAATACCAATGTTCTGAAGCTTTTCCCCTAATGTTTGCCCTGTCGCCCAACCTGGAATGCAGCTGCACAATCTCTGCTCACTGCAACCTCCGCCTCCTGGGCTCAAACAAGCCTCCCACCTGAGCCTCCCGAGTAGCTGAGACTACAGGTGTGGGCCACCAGGCCTGGCTAATTTTCTGTAATTTTTGTAGAGATGGGGTTTTACCATGTTGCCCAGTCTAGTCTCAAACTCCTGGGCTCAAACAATTCACCTGCTTCAGCATCCCAAAGTGCTGGAATTACAGGTGTGAGCCACTGAGCCCTGCCTAAGACCTTGTCTTAAACAACAATAGCAGCAGCAGCAGCAACAACAACAACAAAAACAACAAACCAAACCAAACAACAACAAAGAAAACCCCAGTATGATACTGGTACAAAGACAAACATAGAGACCAATGGAACAGAAGAGAGGGCAGGAGAAGTGTAATGCCTCCTGCTTTATTTATTTATTTTTTTCTCAAGATCATTTAGTGATTCAGGGTCCTTTGTAGTTTCATATAATTTTACAATTGTTTTCTCTATATCTGTGCAAATGCCAGTGGGATTTTGATAGAGAGTGTATTAAATCTGTAAATCACTTTGGGTAGTATGGAAACTTTAAGTCTTCCAATCTATGCCCATGGGATGTCTTTCCATTTGTTTGTGTCTTTTTGATGGATGCTTTATAGTTTTCAGTGCACAAGTGTTTCACTTTCTTAGAGTTTAACTAAGTATTTTATCATTTTTGGTGCCACTGTATTAGATTATCTTCCTAATTTTCTCTTCAGCTAGTTTGTTAGTGCATAGAAACACAATTGCTTTTTAATGCTGATTTCATATCCTGCAACTTAACTGACAGTTTAAAAAATGGAGTCTTTAGGGTGTTCTCTATATAAGGCCATGCCATCAATTAATTGATTTTTGTATGTGAAGCATCTTTGCATCCAAAGGATAAATCCCACTTGTTCATGGTGTATGATTCTTTTAATGTGCTGTTGAATACAGTAATACAGTTTGTTAATATTCTGTTGAAGATTTTTGCATCTATGTTCACCAGGGATACTGCCTTGTAGTTTTCTTGGTAATGTATCTGTCTTTGGTATCAGGGTATTTCTAGCCTCATAAAATGAGTGCAAGGCCAGGCGCGGTGGCTCACACCTGTAATCCCAGCAATTTGGGAGGCCTAGGTGGGTGGATCACCTGAGGTCAGGAGTTGGAGACCAGCCTGACTAATATGGTGAAACCCCGTCTCTACTAAAGATACAAAAATTAGCCAGGCGTGGTGGCAGGCGCCTGTAGTCCCAGCTACTTAGGAGGCTGAGACAGGAGAATTGCTTGAATCCGGGAGGCAGAGATTGCAGTGAGCCGAGATCGTGTCACTGCACTCCAGCCTGGTGACAGAACATGACTCTGTCTCAAAAAACAAAACAAAACAAAACAAAACAAAAAACCTTTATTATTTCCTCCCTTCTGCTAACTTTGGACTTAATTTTTTCTTCTACTTTTTTGAGGTTTAAAAATTAGATTGTTTAGCCAGGCGCAGTGGCTCATGCCTGTAATCCCAGCACTTTGGGAGGCCGAGGCAGGCAAATCACCTGAGGTCGGGAGTTCCAGACCAGCCTGACCAACATAGAGAAACCCTGTCTCTACTAAAAACACAGTATTAGCTGGGTGTGGTGGCGGGTGCCTGTAATCCCAGCAACTTGGGAGGCTAAGGCAGGAGAATTGCTTGAACCTGGGAGGCAGAGGTTGCAGTGAGCTGAGATTGTGCCATTGTACTCCAGCCTGGGCAACAAGAGTAAAACTCCATCTCAAAAAAACAAACAAAAAAAGCCCAAAATTGGCCGGGTGTGGTGGTACACACCTGTAATCCCAACTACTGGAGAGGCTGAAGCATGAGAATTGTTTGAACCTGGGAGGTTGCAGTGAGCCGAGACTGCCACTGCACTCCAGCCTGGGTGACAGAGCTAGATCCTGTATGCAAAAAAAAAAAAAAAAAAAAAAAGGAAAGAAGACAAAGAAACTTGGTATAACTTTGATCTTCTTAATTTTTTAAAGACATGCTTTGTAACCTAATGTAATCTACCCTGGAAAATGTTCTGTGTACACTTGAGAAGAATGTATGTTCTGCTGCTGTTGGGTGGAATGTTCTGAATAGGTCTGTTAGGGACATTTGATTTTCTTCTGATTTTTAACATATGGCTAGAATATGGGGACTATGACCTCCCTAGACAGGTAATTCAGGGAATTTTTTTCTACTTTTAATTATCATGACCTCTAGTGTTTACTTCACTTAACATCTATAACTTTAGGTAAAAAGGACAAAACTCAAAACACCAAGGGGGCAACAGAGACTTGAAATTCCAGTAGGACTGTAGTTTTTGTTCCTAGTGGACCAAGAGGACTTAGATGATTGTTCTGATTTTATGAATTCTCTCAGACTCTTGGAAGTAAATGTAATAGACCGTCCCTTAGATAAAATCAGACCATATTTCAGATTCTGTATAATCTGAGATGACCAAGGGTAGAGTAGGCCATTATTAAAATGGCCTGAAATGTCATGCATGCTAGACCTTTAACTACTTCTCTAGTCTTATTTAAAATCATACCTTTTTTTGCTCTATGTACTCTAGCTATACTGGCCCTAGTGTATTAATTCCTCTGATTTATAAGGTTATCTCCTACCACAGGGCCTTTTTACATGCCATTTCCTATTCTTGGAAAACTCTTTTTCTCCAATGCATTCTCTAGACTCCAAATCAATAAATAATTTTCTAGGGACTTTCCTAAACATTTAAGTGTGTGACACCTGCATTACTCATAGCAAAATGTATCTCTCCTCATAGCAAGTTTTACATTAGTTTGTAAGGCCACTTGATTAATGTTTTTCTCCCTCAATGGAATGTAAGTTCTATTAAGGCAGGTACAATGTCTGTTCTTGTTCACCAATGAAGCCCTACTGTCTAACACATAGCCTAGTTTATAATAGGCACTCAATAAATATTAGTGAAAGAAATGTGTCACCTTCACTGTGGTACTACTAGGTAGGTATTATTATATCAATTTCAAGAGGGAGCCTTCAGGCTCAAATGGGTTCATTTACTTGCCCAAGCTGCAAAGCTTGTAAATAAGAGAATTACAATTCAAGTATATGAAAAGAAATTATATTTAAATTATATTAGGAAATCCTACAAATCATTAGGAAAAAGATAGTCTAATAAAACAATTGGCAAATACTTGAATTGACACTGCATAAAATAAGACATCTAAATGGCAATTAGAATTCAAAAAGCATCTCAACTTTATTAGTCATCAAAGAAATGCAAATTGAAACCATACTGGCATACCAGTAGAATGACCAAAATTAAAAAGACAGAAAAAAAAATCATTTGCAAAGATGAGAAACACAAAAACTCTCATAAATAAGGGACTTCAAAAAGTTCATAGAAAATGAGTATTAAGAAAAACTATGCGTATTTCAAATTTTTTTTGCACCAAAATAAACTTGTATTAACTTCTTATAACATATCTGAGCTAGGTGTGGTGGCTCACGCCTGTCATCTCAGCACTTTGGAAGGCCAAGTCAGGCAGATCACCTGAGGTCAGGAGTTTGAGACCAGCCTGGCCTGACCAACATGGTGAAACCCCGTCCCTACTAAAAATACAAAATTAGCCGGGTGAGTTGGCACATGCCTGTAATCCCACCTACTTGGGAGGCTGAGGCAGGAGAATTGCTTGAACCGGGGAGATGGAGGATGCAGTGAGCTGAGATTGCACCCTTGCACTCCAGCATGGGCAACAAGAATGAAACTCCATCTCAAAAATAAAAATAAATAAATAAATAAATAAATAAATACTAAAAAAAAAATATATATATATATCTGAACAGGATCTAGTTTGAGTTGCTAAGAAGCCTAAGACATCAATTTGAAAAGAGCTCCTATCAGAGCAACATAAATTCTGCTAAAATTGAGGCAAGAACAAACATAAAATTTACAGTAAAGCTTGGGTGGAAAAATGGTGAAATCATTGATGCTTTATAAAAAGTTTATGGGCACAATGCCCCAAAGAAATCAGCAGTTTACAAATGAATAGCTCATTTTAAGAAGGGACAAGACAACATTGAAGATGAAACCCACAGCTGGAGACTATCTGCATCAATTTGCAAGGAATAAATTCATCTTGTTTATACACTAATTGAAAAAGAATGACAATTAACAGCAGAAATGATAGCCAACATCATAGACATCTCAATTGATTCAGCTTACACAATTCTGACTTAAGAATTAAAGTTGAGCAGACATTCCACTTGACGGGTATCCAAACCATTGCATCCAGGTTGGTTGTAAACAAGACGATAGCATTCAATGGAAAATTTAAACAAGTGGGATCAGGATCCTGAAGCGTTTCTTCAAACAACTGTCACAGCGGTTGGAACATGGCTTTACCAGTACAATCCTGAAGACAAAGAAAATTAAAGCAATGGCTACCAAGAGACGGAAATAGTCCAGTCAAAGCAAAAGTGAACCAGTCAAGAGCACAGGTCATGGTAATAGTTTTTTGGGATGCTGAAGGCATTTTGCTTGTGGACTCTCTGGAGGGCCAAAGAACAATAATATCTGCTTACTATTAGAGTTTTTTGAGAAAGTCAAAGCTGTAGCAGAAAAATTCCTAGTAACGCTGCACCAGAGAGTTTTCCACCATGACAACGCTCCTGCTCATTCCTTTCATTAAACAAAGGCAATTTTGCAGGAGTTTCAAAGGGAAATCATTAGGCATCCATCTTACAGTCCTGATTTGGCTCCTTCTGGCTTTTGTTTCCTAATCTTAACAAATCAATAAGGGACACCCATTTCTCTTTAGCTAATAATGTAAAAAACACTGCATTGACATGTTTAAATTCCCAGGACCCTCAATTCTTTAGGGATAGACTAAGTGGCTTATATCATTGCTTACAAAAGTGTCTTGAACTTGATGATGATTATATTGAGAAATAAAGTTTATAATTTTTTTATCTTTTAATTCCATTTTTCCACAAACATTTTAAATTCCCCTCATATACTATTAGAGGGAACTTCAGATAGTACAACCTTTTTGAAAAATTATTTGGCAATATCTAATAAACTAAACATATGCAAACTCTGTCACCTAAAATTTCACTCATATTTATATTCTCTACAGGAATGTATGAATATATTTGCCTAAAGAGAATGTTGTAAGTAGCACAATTTGTAATTAAAACATGAAATTTGTAACAAAAATATGAAAATGCCCAAATGTTAAACTTAAGAAGCCAAACTAAAAAGTGCACATATTATATGATTCTCTTTGTATAAATTTAAATAACACGCAAAACTAATCTATGCTCTTGCCAGTCAGAATGGTGGTTAGACTAAGAAGCAGCAGAAAACAGTTAAAGGGAGCCACATAAGGGAGGTATATCAATCTGGGTCCACTCCAGAGAGAGAGTAATTTGAGCAGGAAAGTTTATTACAGGGAATTAGTAATTACATCAGAGGATTAGAACAAGGAGGGATTGGCTAGTAAGAAGTACAGAGAAGTCTAAAGAATATAGGACTTGGCCGGGCGCTGTGGCTCATGCCTGTAATCCCAGCACTTTGGGAGGCTGAGGTGGGCGGATCAGCTCAGGTCAGGAGTTCCAGACCAGCCTGGCCAACATGGTGAAACCACAAAAAATTAGCCAGGCGTGGTGGCGGGCACCTGTAATCCCAGCTACTTGGGAGCCTGAGGGAGGAGAATCACTTGAATCCGGAAGGCAAAGTTTGCAGTGAGCTGAGATCGTGCCACTGCCCTCCAGCCTGGCGACAGAGGGAGACTCTGTCTAAAAAAAAAGGAAAAAGAAGAAGAAAAAAAGGAGGAGGAGGAAGAGGAAGAAGAGGAAGAAGAAGAAGAGTAATAATAATAATAATAATAATAATAATAATAATAAAGGACTAGCCCGTATAAGAAGCAGCTACCACCCCTAGGGCTGAGGGCTGAGCTAGAGCACACAAAGAAGTATTCTCTTCCCACCAGGGCTGAGATCCAGACCTGCATCCAGGTGGGAAGGGTAGGAAAAAAGTGCTCCAGCGGAAGGTGCAGGACATGTGCCATCTAGATTACCAAGGAAAACTGTTCATGGGGAAGTCTGTTACCAGAGATGCTCTAAAGGAGGTTCCCCAAAGTACTGCTGGCCACCGTGCACTGCAGGAGGTTCCTACTAGAGAAACTGCTCAGGCTGCGAGAGCCCGGCCATTGTGCACACTAACGCGAGATTGTTTCCTCCAGCAATGTCTCTCCATCGCCCTCTATTGACAAAACGTAACATTGAGCTAACTGCGAAAGAAAATATTTAAAGGGCCCCCCTCCATTCCATTGTTACCGCGCAAGGAAAAGTGATTTTGCAGCTAAGAGGTAATAAATAGATAACCGGACAGAAGAGAAAATGCTGAACTTATTTTGATTGGTTCGAATTCAAACACACTCTTATATCCTTGTTCAAGTGCACAATCCATGGTGAAAGTTTAAGAGACGTCAAAAATTTTGTTTCGGCCAGGCAAGGTGCCTCACGCCTGTAATCCCAGCACTTTGGGAGGCCGAGGCGGGTAGATCACCTGAGCTCAGGAATTCAAGACAAGCCTTGCCAGCATGGCGAAACCTCATTTCTACTAAAAATACAAAAATTAGCCGAGCGTGGTGGTGGGCGCTTGTAATTCCAGCTACTTGGGAGGCTGAGGCAGGAGAATCGCTTGAACCCGGGAAGCGGGGGTTGCAGTGAGCCTAGATGGCACCACTGCACTCCAGCCTGGGCAACAAGAGGGAAACTCCGTCTCAAAAAAAAAAAAAAAAGTGTTTCCTTTCTGTGCTTCAGCAAAAAAAGAGCAAGTCCAATAATTCCCCGACGGGCTCAAAGCGAAACCCTGTTCCTTAGAAATCCCCGAGGAAACTTCCTCCGCGAAAAACCCGCAAGTGCTGCTCTCTGGATTCCAAGAAAGCCAGTCTCACCTGCGAGGTGCAGGCAAGTGGGGTTCTGGGGCTCCGGTGCCTATTGGGGTTGCCACCACCGGGGCACTCAGATGGAGATCAGAAAAGGAAGATGAAAGTGAGGGTTCGGCTTGGGGTAGGGAATGGTGTGACGCGGGATTCAGCGCCACGTTGCTGGGTGACAGAAGGAGCACAGAAGTTGAGTGTTCACGTGCTCGGCAAAAGCAAAGATTCTATTGGTTTAAATGAAAATACTCAAAAGTAGAATTAGCGGTGAAAGAAAATACCAGTTCTTGTTTCCGCCCGGTTTCGAACCGGGGACCTTTCGCGTGTTAGGCGAACGTGATAACCACTACACTACGGAAACTTACTGTGAATAGGGGTCTTCTTTCTCACTTAAAAGACTAGTCCTGAATTCTCCCTCTTTCCCTCCACACCCCCAGATAATTTTTTTTTTTTTATTATGGTGAATTGCACACTTTCACAGTTGCTATTTATAATATAAAAACTCGATGACCTAATTTAAGTTGGGGAACACTTGATAAATAATTGGTCTGTACTTTTTTGTATAACAAAATATATTTCCTAGTAGTTACTTATATAAAGAAGAGGCATAGAATTAATTTTGGAAAGGTAATTTGTTAAGATTTATGCATCTATGAATCTATGAACTAATTTTTAAACCTATTTTTAGTATTTAGATATTCTTCCCATTGTTTTATACTTTAAAAAATACTGATTAGTTTTCAAATTTGTACCTGTTTTAATGTTTAGTTGTAACCAACTAGTAGCTTCAATGATAACTCAATTGGAAGGGATTCCATAAAAATAGAGCATTATGCTTCCCATAACAAAAATAATAAATGACTGGCTAATGGCTTAACCTAGTATAGTGTAGTATTTGGTGATCTAATTAGAAAAGAAGCTCTTTTCCTTCTAGAAATACTTGCCCACCTCCTTGCGGAAAACCCTCCCTTTCCGCTGTCTGCATTGGGATGAGAATCAGATCCATCAGGGAGATGCAGACCAGGGAGACCCTTCCTCCTGTTAACACTAGCGGGGCTGGTGGAACCCAGCCCACCATGCAGGAGGGAGGAGCTGGCAACGCCCTGAACGGTGGCAGGGGAAAGCATGCGGGTGTCAGCCTCTCTAGGGTTTGGATAAGCCGATTTCAAGTCCAGGACAGTAGAGAAAACAAAAGAGCTCTGTTCAAATTAAAAAAAAAAAAAAAAAAAAAAATCTTACTGAGTTTCAAACCAAGGGTCTTTACTGTATTGGGCAAATGTCATAACCACAATACCAGTAAAACTTGCCTTTGGTCCAATGTCTCTTCCACAGGAAAAAAATAGAGGTTTTCCAGATGCCCCAGGTTCTGTAATCTCAAAGCTGCCCTTTCTTTCCAGAAACTGTCACAGTGGTGGTATATTTCTTGCCCTTGTACTTTTAGTGAACTGAAATCAACAGCCAAACTTTATCATTTTAGCAATCAAAGTATTCACCCATGAGCTCAATTTCTTTGCAAACGCCAGGCAAGAAAACCTCAATTAGATAGAGGAGTAGGGAGCAGATGATTTGGCTTTTTAAAAAAATTCTACTACAGTGTCCTAATCTTATCTATGCAACTTGTTCTGATCTTCACCTTTCTAGTGCCAGAAAATGAGCCTTTTAGGAACCAGGACCTGTAAGACTGAGCTCTTGGGACTATTAGCATTTGCTGCAGAGCAGGGAAGCTTCAGGATGAGATATACTGGGGAACAGGCACAAGGTTACAAGATTGTACCCTATGTCACAAATAATTATTTCTCTGGAATGTGACAGTTCAATGTTATTTGATTTAGAAAAGGAGGATAAAATGCTAGTATATTTTTTCTTTTCTTTGTTCTTCTCTCCCTTTTCACTGTCTTCCTCAATCTACTTTCACTGCACACTTAGAAGCAAGCTGCCTTCCCCCAGACTGCATATAAACACCACAAACTCTCTGTGCTTAGAGATGGTGGTTGGGCTGCCAGACCAGTCTGGAGAAAGTCTGTGCTTACTTTTTCCCCTACTTAGTATTCTTTCTTCCATGGGTGCCAGGAACAGAAAGCCCCTTCTCACCTTGAGATCATGTGAGCTGGTAGCAGCTGGATCATGAATAATTGGAATGCTGTGGGTAACAACTGAAAGAAAGACTGTAATTCCCAATTAACAAATTAGACTATTTCCCAATTAACAAATCAAGACCAGATTAGCAGCAACAATGATCTTTAAAAATATTGTTAAAGGAAAAAAGAAAGAAAAAGATAAAAAATATTGTTAAACTGGACATAGTGGTGTACCTGTAGTTCTAGCTACTCTGAAGACTAAGTAAATCAGGAAGATCCTTGAGCCCAGGAGTTTGAGGCTGCATGTGCAATGATTGTGTCTGTGAAAGGCCACTGCCCTCCAGCCTGGGCAATATAGGGAAACACCATCTCTAATTAAAAAAAAAATTGTTGTAAACACATTTATTTCTTATTAATTAAAATAAATTATTGCCTGGGCGCAGTGGTTCACGCCTGTAATCCCAGCACTTTGGGAGGCTTAGGCGGGATGATCACTTGAGCCATAAGTTTGAGACAGCCTGGGCAACATCGCCAGACCCCCATTTCAATTTTTTTTAAAAAAGAAAAATAAATTATTGAGCTACAAACAATGTGCCAGACAATTGTGACCCTATGTTGTCACTAGGAGTGCCAGAGACATGCAGGACAAGATTACACAATCCTAACTCTCAAGGAGAAGAAAGAGGCACACAAGCAGTCAATACGCCATAAGCAAAAACTGGAGCAACAGACGTACAGATTGCGGAGAATTTGGATGGGAGTATAGAGAGGAGGCATCTCCCCAGTCCTTATGAACTGGCAGGGCAGATCTGGCAGGGATCTTTGGAGCCAAAATATCGGGGTACAATTCCTTCCTCTGCCACTTTCTCATCATATGTAGGATTTTAGGCAAGCTCTTTGGCTTCTTCATGACTCTATCCGAGTTGGTAAAATGGATACGGAAAGTGTCTACCTCATAGAATTATAAACTCAATTAAGAAAAACTCCCTGAAATGTTTCAGACAGTGCTTAACTTACAAAAGTAGTTACTGCTTTTATTTTTAGAATTACTTTTAGCCTTGTCAAGCCTCTTTAGTCAAGATCTATCCTTGTCATTTCCGGTTTACATTTGAGCAAGTTAAGGCTTAGAACAATGTATTGAGGTTATGCTAGCTAGGAAGGGACACTACCAGGTGTGTTTGTCTCCAGAACTGGTGTTTTTGACCACCATGCTATACTAGGTAGTTTTATAAACCTCTGTTTATGGCACACACACACAAAAATGATTATAGAGAATATTATGGACCTCCTTATTTCCATGATCCTACTTCAACAGTTAGGCTCTCCTCCCTCTGCCAACCCCCATGATAATTTAAAGCAAATTTAGACATTTTCATCTAGCAACAGCTTTTTTGTGGCATTTTCGTAGCATATGCTTCCATTTGACTTTGTAGTTAATGAGGAAATTTGTTGAGCTCTTCTCCACTGGGCGGGAGAGATGCCATGCAGGGAGTCCTAAGCTTCCTATTGTCCCTCAGATCAGTAAAGAAGACCAGCCCTAAGCTGCTGACCACAGGTTCATGGGACTCTTCTGAGGGAATGTGAAGCCCAGAACTTATGCTAGTGATTCTCCAGGTGGACTATCCCTAAGATTCCCTGCCATACCCTCTTCTAGTGCAGAGGGTCTCTGGTACGGTTAAGGCTTGTGCAAGTCTTAATTTTTAGAGCTTCCAGGTGATTCTGAAGCTCAGGATCTTTGAGAAGTAAGATTTTGACAATGCTTTCATTAATGACAAATTTGTTTCATCTTAAAAAAGAAAACTTCACCCTTATATGTGTGGAGGAGGACACTATAGTGAAATTAAGGAAAACAAAAATCAAATTATCTGCTCCCTCCATCTACCTGAGGTTTTCCTGCTTGGTATTTGCAAAGAAATTGGGCGCATGGGTGAATACTTCGATTGCTATAAATAGTAGAGTTTGGCCGTTGATTTTAGTACACTAAAAGTGCAAGGGCAAGAAACATACCACCACCTTGACAGTTCCTTGGAAGAAACTTAACTGCATCTTCTGGACCCAATTCGCGTGGCGCAGTGCCGGAAAGAGGCGGACGAATCTGCAGCCCCAGCTCCGCCTTCCCGGTCCCTGCACACCCCGGCAGCCTCTGCGCGGTTCTTCCCGCCCCCACCACCCGCCGCCACACGAAGACGCTGCGTCCTGGCGGTTAGCCGGGGCTTAGTCTAGGCGGGGCAGGGTTGTCTGGGAGACCAGACGGCCACCAGGTCACCCAGGTGGGAAGGGAAGAGAGGTTCACCGCTGCCTCGGGCCTGGGCCTGGCCGGTGGGAGACACAGCAAGGACTCTGGGAGCCTGCAGAGCAGAAGCCGCCGCGGGACCGGGCCTCCGCCTCTTCCTTAGGTCCAAGACCAGAGGGTCTGCAGGGCCCCAGAGCAGCTGGCCGCGCTCCGCTTCCCACCGCGCTCTCTGCTGAAACTCATGTGGATTGTTTATCCTTGTTTTGCTAAATTTCTTTATTTGCTGTAACAGTTTGGG